AGGGTTGGAATTGTGACATTAAAAAAAACAATAATGGATAAAAGAAATTTAATTTGTAGTTCTGAACACAAACATGTTTTGACACCTGATTGATTGATTGTTAAGTGCTAAAATGTGAATGAAAATAAAAAAATGTACATGTTAAAAATGAAATTACTCTTTTGTTTGAACAAGATATATCATCTTAACCAAAATGAGAGAAATGTCTTTAGTTTATTGCAAGAAAGCATTGATTTTTTTGTGAAGACTGAGGTAGTGATACAAAAACTGCAATTTTTTAAAATTAATGAAAGAATACATAGAAATGCAAATGGCCTCATGTCACAAATATGTTTTATGAGGAATACCTGGAATAGAAATATATTACAACTCTTTGTTTTAAAGATTTTGAAGAATAACACCCAGTTTTTGCAAAAACAGATTTTATTTGGGGTCATTTTTGACCCCACAAAAAGAAAGAGCGTAGGTATTGGTAGGTTGTGCATCCAAGGGTTAAAGCTTACATGTAAGTGCTCATGTTTTTAAATCACACATTACATACATGTGACCTTGTGCTTTTTCATATTGTGAAACCTGCTGCTAAACGAACTGAGGTAAACTGTGTTAAAGGTTACATGAACATCCTCTGCAGGTTAGTGCAGGATAAACAGGTTAGTTTGCTGCACTGTGATGGGTTCAAAGTAACGAACAGTGTGTGACTGCTGCACAGTGTCTGTGGTTTCATGGTCACAGTTAGGTTACATCAAGTGTAGCAGAGATTCACATGAATTTAACTATTCTACTACTACTATTACTATGTAAGTAATAGATATCTGTAAATATCAATAAGTATAGACATGTACATGCACATACACATGTACATGTTTATACTATATGTACACTAAATATACATACGTATACATATACCTGCACACATCCATACAAATAAAAGGTGCATTTTGCATGAAGCGTGTCCGTGAATGTCCAGAATGTCCTGTGACTCATGATATCGTGATTGAGGGGTTATAGAGTCAAAATGCTGTTGGAATGAATTCTCTGCGAAAGCGAGGTTGTTTCATCCAAACATTCATTCAAGGATCATCCAAAAGCTTAAAATTAGACTCACAAATGTGTACAATGATTTGTGTGTAACTTTTCAGGAAATGCGTGCTTCAATCCACACCCAAATAATCAATATAAACACATGTAAGACTATATTACAAATGCGTAAATCCAAACCTGAGTAAATACTGATCAATAACACACAATTTATTAAGTTTAGCTTCATGAATATGATAACTTTCTCTTTTAGCACCGTTTGTTCCTCATCTATTTCTGCCTTTCTCCGTGTGACTGTTACTTTTATCCGAAAACACAGTCGTGTGTATTTCTACATTGCTATCTTTCTTTAAAAAAATAGTGTTGTTTCATGTATAACTTAGTAGCTCAGCTGTTGACTCTGCAGTCCTGGTGTTTGCAGCCTTGGTGGTTCCTGGGTTATTCTTAAGATCTTCTGACCACAGCTGTACAATGTTTTTCTTTGCTTATGTTCTACATAAAAGATGATCCGAGTGATTACATTCATGAAATAAAATTTGTATTATTATCTATTGATATTATATTAATATTGCATTTGTAACAGAAGTATCTCCACTTCTATTTCTCTCAATAATCAGAAGACAGTCTGAGGTAATGATTCTGTCTAACTTATCACTAACACCGTTTTTACTCCGTCATTTAAAAGTATGGGTGAATGCTCTGACGGAGCGAGAACCAATTAAATCAAGTCAAATCAAATTAAATAAAACAGAAGACCACAACATGAAGATGAAAGAAATTAAACCAAAGAGTAACATAGGTATGCTAGATTAGTCAGAACAGGTGTGACTGGTTCTGTCAGTGTGGGCGTGTACGATGTTCTAGCAGGTGTGTAAATATCTGTAGACACAGAGGCATTAGCACAATAACCACCGCTCACCTTCACTACACTTTAAGGAATCATGGAGGTTTCAACCTTAAAGAAAATTATAGATGATTTTTGTGTCTCTGAAGAGGTTAACATAGAAAAAACAGGTCTCATCATTGATGGTGCAGCTCTGTACTACTCTTTGTATTATACGTCTGATCCAAAGCTGGACCAGCGCTGTGGAGGAGATTATCCTGGATTCAAAGATGAGGTCTGTAAGTTCTTTGAGGCTTTGCAGGACTGTGAAGTTACTCCGTACGTCTTCCTGGATGGAGGCTCAGGGCCTGAGAAGCGTGTTCATCTTGTGTCTCGTCTAAAACATAAACTGGAAAAAGCAAAGACAGTAGCAGAGACTGAGCCTGATGCTGCACCAAAAGGATGTAACGTTTTACCACCTCTGGTCAAAGATGTCTTCATAGAAATCTTAAAGGAGAAAGACATCATGTTTGAACAGTGTTTAGGAGAGGCAGACCCTGTAATTGTTTCTGCTGCAAATCAGAAACAATGTGCTGTGCTGTCCATTGATAAGGATTTTTACATCTTTGATTTGTGCAAAGGTTTCCTTCATCTCGACAACTTTGAGTGGAAAAGCAAGAAGGATGGCAAAATTCCTGCTAAGCTCTACACGCGTTCAAAGTTTTGTGAGCATTTCAAATTAGACCCTGCTCTCATGCCAGTCTTTGCTTCAATAGCAGGAAATGATTATTCAAGATTAAAAGACAATGGTACCTTTGCAAATGAATCATCTTCACCTGGTGAGTACAGCATTAAAAGACTGGATGGTATGCTCAGGTTTTTAAGTAAAGTGAATCTGGACGGTTTGAATGACTCACAGAAGAGAGAGCGTGCTCTAAGTGAAGCTTTAAGTCATGTTGGTAAAGAAGAAAACCAAACATTCAAACTTTCCATTCAAAAATATGTTGAACTAGAAGAACCATGTTTTGAGTTGCCGTCATGGGTGAGTAAAAAAGTTGAGAGTGGAGAACTCACCACTTTTGTCATAAGTGTTTTAGATCAGAAGACTATGATGCTGCCTGTTCTTGTGGAGGACTTTTCACAGCGCAGTAGTTACACAGCTGCTTACCACATCAGACAGTACTTCTATGGACTGTTAACTGGAGGTCAGATGTGCACTGAATATGACAGGGATAGAGAAGAGATCAAAGACAAGCGTGTCCCATCCATTCTCCTCAGCAGTGATGAACAGAAACAACTGAAATTACAGCGTCTGCATGAGGTACTGAGGTTAATCAATAAATATGTGTTTAATTACTCCGACAGGCCATAAACGTGTTTCCGTGGTACACGTGAGCATCTTGTCTGTGTGGTACATGTCTGTGCAGGCTCCTGAGGGTTTGCGTCGCAGGGTGTTTGAAGAAGCTCTGCAGGTTCAGACTTCAGCCTTAGAAAACATCCCCGACCAGCTGAAGCTGCCAGTCTGTGTGACTGTTTTCTGGTTCAAGAGGCTACAACACCACCCAAAACCTGAAACTGTCCACTGCCTCCACGCCCTCCTGCTGGGGTTTGTGTTTGACCAACATGGTCCAGGTAAGTCTTACTTGATACCATGATGGATATTTACAATGAAATGCAT